AGAAGAAGAGATTGGATTTATACCCTGTCCTTCACTTGGAGTCTCAGAGCGGCTTACAAACTCCTTTCCCTTCCCCTCCCCCCAACAGACACCCTGTGAGGTGGGTGGGGCTGAGAGAACTCTGACACAAACTGCTCTTTCAGGAACAGCTGTGCCAGAGCTTGTGACTGACCCAAGGTCACATCAGCAGGTGCAAGTGGAGCAGTGGGGAATCAAACCCAGTTTTCCCAGATTAGAGTCCGCACACTTAACCACTACACCAAACAAATGCTTTGTAAAAGGAAAGGAAACAAAGAAAAAGGAAAAATAGCTATGGCCTCTCTTGATGATTGGGCCTCTCTTGATGATTCTAATAGCCCAATCCTGTGTATGTTTATTCAAAAGCAAGCCTAACTGTGTTCAGTTGGACATACTGTCAAATAGGAATGCACAAAACCACAGCCTTAACTTCTCTCCAAAACAGTCTAATAATCCAGACCACAAATCACTTTACCTTCCAGAGTTTACCATGTCATGTGGCTAAACAGATATGTGTATATATTAACATTAACTTGCCAGACAATTAGCAGATGCTGTCTGATGCTGCCATTTAAAGCAAATTACAGGGACAAGGTGTGATAGACAGGCGGCTGTCCTGCCCCTGAAGGGGAGAATAGCCATTCAGCTGAGCCTATGGAAGTGCTGCTCCAGCATCCAATCACCTTTCAGGAGGGGAATGGAATGTTGGAGGGAAGCACAGGAGGAGACAAGTCAGTTCAGGTCTGCCTCAGGGGGAGGACAGTCATAGTTTGGGGTGACAGTAAAAGGGTGGCTCTGCTAGTACCGTGTTTCCCAGAAAATAAGACACTGTCTTATATTTATTTTTTTCTCAAGAAGACACACTAGGGCTTATACCACAAATGCATAGAAATCCTGCTAGGGCTTATTTTGGGGGTAGGTCTTATTTTCGGGAAAACAGGGTAGTGTGACAGAGTGGTTTAGCTCTCCCTCTGGGAGAGACTAGAGTACCCAATTGTTAGGCCTGTCTCTGGTAATGAGATTAACATTCAAAGGCTCTGGAACAGTCAGCCCAGGTAACGTAGTCAGCAATAACAAACAGAGGTAAATTGCGTAGAGATGAAAAGTAAAAATAGAAATAAGGGAAAGATAAAGGAAATAAGTTGCGGCGCATTGTTCATCAGTGCTACAGCCTCAGCGCCATCTTGGATCCCCAAGTTAATATGAGCTGAAGCCATCTCTGGAAATGAATAGACCTTGTGCCATTCAGTCTGACTCTGGGGAAAGGACAGGCTGGTGTAGATGGAATCCAGCGTGTGAGAGAGGATCCAGCCTAGTGGCTAGCTGGTAAAAGCTTGTTTGTGCCTGGAAATATTAAAGAAAATTCAAACCACACTCTAAAGCCATAACTAGCTTAAATTTATGTGCCTCAGTCAGGTTTCTCCTTTGACTACCTGAAGACCTGTGTTGCTGCCGATATGTCCTTTAAAATAACTTGAAAATAGATAAACCTTTGTTATTTACATGCGGCTCCTGCGTCAGTGATCTCCGTATTCTACTTGCACACTACCGAACTGATCTCATGGCAGTGAACCCATTCCTATACACTTACTACCTAAAGAATACCTGGCAACTGAGGTTAAAACAAATCTGGTTCCCTAAAATCATAGGAGGCTGTGTGAGTCCCCGCAATTAGTAGAAGAGGCCTGCCACACAAGGTCAAACAGATGCCATAAATATTGCGTACATAAGATAGCATTTATGGTTCTTTGATGGGCAAGAGTAGGAATGGGTACCATAGTATTCGGGCAAGTTAATGCTTGTTTACAGACTCAGAGGTTGTTCAGGATAAAAATGAAAAGCAGAAGAGACTTCCTTATTGTTCTACTTAAGGAAGCTAAATAGAGACAGGACTATTGTAGGCCTTCTGTTTCATGAACTCTTTTTTGTGTTCAATCTCAGTTTGTATCTTGGCTACATTCATAGAATGCACAACTTTATGAGCCAAGCTCTGATATAGTTTCATGTTGGTCTGTGGTAAAAGAGCTAGATTCGAATCCAGCAGCACCTTAGAGACCAACAAGATTTTCAGGGTATAAGCTTTCGACAGTCAAAGCTGCCTTCATCAGATAATGAAGGGATAATGGGAGCTTTGCCTCTCAAAAGTTTATTCTCAAAAACTCTTGCTGGTTTCTAAGGTGCTACTGGACTTGAATCAAGCTCCAGTATGGCACCCAAACTTGCTTGTGATGTCCACTGATAATTTGATAAGGTTTTTTTGTTGCTGTTCAGTTGCACAGTCGAGTCCGACTCTTCGCGACCCCATGGACAAGATCCCGCCAGGCCCTCCTGTCTTCCGCTGTCCTCTGAAGTTTGCTCAATTTCATGTTCGTTGCATCTATGACACTGTCTAACCATCTCATCCTTTGCCGTCCCCATCTTCTTTGACCTTCAATCTTTAGTCAGTATTTAAAAAAAAACAATTTCCCCTCAAACAATAGAAACTTCTTTTAAAATCTCAAAATCAACTTTAAAATCAGCTTAAATCCAAAAGTCATGGAACTTTCGGGAAGAACCTTCCCATATCGTATTTCTTGTTCCATCCAACTGTAAACAGAGATGTGGTCCACTAAGTGGAAGAAAAACAAGTGTGATCAAAGACTGAGAGTCTCTTGGTTTTGTCATCTATCTTTAAGACAGATGAACTAGTATGGTCATATATCCACCCCATACACACCAGATGGTTAGTTAATGTGGTATGTTGACACTTCTAACATAATATACGTACATGTCAAACTCTGTCTTTAGTTTGCCATAATTGTAAAATGGAAATTTCTGCGGGTGGGGGGGAATGGCTGAATGTGTGAACTGCTGCTCTGCTCTCTGTCGTAGGCATCATAACTCTTTCCACGATACCTCCCTGTTTATGGATGACCTTGAGCCACACTGTGCCAGCTTGCTATTCTAGATAAAGAAATAATATATTCTCAGGTGGGAGAGCAGTAGGCGCGAATGTTAGGTAGGATAGCTAAGACTAAGATTGGATGCATGAAAGGGGGGCCTTGTTTGAACTGTCTATATCTTTGGATTCTCCTGCCAGAACCTAAGTTCTGACACAGTACTGATCTAACCTGGAACACAATTATTTCTCAATAAACAAATCACTGCAGAGAGAATGCTGTCGAGAGTAACTTCGTCCAGGAGTCTGACAGTACATTATGTAAGGAGTTTTATATCATGCAATTTTTTGAACCTTTCCCCCCAGATAATTGTTCAGATTCTTATAATACATTTGAAATTTAAACGGGGACTCTTTATCTTTAGGCAAGACCCGCTGTAGAGCTGCATCGTTGAAATACATGTACTCAAAGAGCTACATTGACATTGATCAATCTCTGATAGCACAAGAACTTTCTAAATGTATAACATATATGAGGTTGATGCAAAGAGGCACTTTACTGTTCCTCTAGAAAAGAATGGTAATTATATCAAATCTATGGACTGAATTTTTCACACAGATGTTAGATAAATGCACATCTTGTGGCATTCTTCTTAGGTACATGATTCTCCATATAACCTGCTTAGTATCCCCTTTACTTTAGTATCACACTTGATCAATTTGCATTTTGACTGGGTTTATAATGGAATCCATATTTGGACCAATCTCTGATGTCATCCAGGCTCCATGTTAAGAGAACATCCAATATTATCATAATGTAAGTGGTACACTTCAAGATATTCTCACACTCATCTAATCCTCTGCCTGTATTTAAATGAGTATCACCAGTTTCTAAGCTGAAGTACCCTAAGTATGTTAGGCCAAAAGCTCTACTATACCATTCTAGGATAGTATTTTCTCACTTGGCTGAAATCAATCCTAGGTAAGCCAAATAAGGGGTATTACTAAAGCCACCTTTAAAAAGGAAGATGTCACTCCACTAGCAGACACCGGTGGCCAGCTACTGAGAATCTTTGATAAGGAATAACTTACACTTTGGTACCAACTAGCTGTGGTCTGACTGAGAGCCAATATTGGGTGCACAAAAGAAAACTGTCTTGCCTCTCTTGGGTTAACACCCTGGCAATGTGTATATTCACTTCTCAAAAGTTGTGACCAAACCTATCAGTGCAGTTAACATTAACTTCCTTCTGTACAGAGCAGTAACATCTACATATAGAACAATTTAGCATTTTAAATATTTGCAGTTAGATTATTCTACCACCAATGTCAGATTGATATAAATTATTTTCCACTTGTGCTTTTCAGGAAAAAAAGAACTTCAAACAAAATGGAGGCTCCAGCTACAGAAGGGGGAAAAGTGCACTTCAGGCTTAAAACCTTTCCATTGATCCATGAACCATTACCAGGTTCCTTTCCTACATCAAACTGTCAGGACTGAAAAATAACATGCTGCCTCAGTGGGACAAAGAGATGCTAATGGTAAGAAGGCTTTTTATTCACACGGCTGAATAGAAGAGTTCCAGGAACAATGGCTTCAAAAGTCTCATGCTTGTATGTCCTCACAGTAGTTTGTTGGGCAAGTGCTCTTTGGTACTTAAGCGTAACACGTCCCACTTCATCCTACACTGTCCACAGAACTTACGACAGCATCTCAATGGCTAGAAAAAATGTCTCGTTTGGCAACATAAGGACTCGACCAATCAACCCCCATTCATTTGATTTCCTCATAAATGAGCCTCAGAAGTGTGAGAACAATGCTCCTTTTCTCATTATTCTCATCAGCACCACTCACAAGGAATTTGATGCAAGACAAGCCATTCGAGAGACGTGGGGAGATGAGAACAACTTTAAAGGTATTAAGATCTCCACCCTCTTTCTTCTAGGGAAAAACACAGACTCTGTGTTAAACCAGATGGTAGAGCAAGAAAGTCAAATTTTCCATGACATTATTGTGGAGGACTTCATTGACTCCTATCATAATCTGACTCTGAAAACCTTAATGGGAATGAGATGGGTGGCCACATTTTGCTCAAAAGCCAAGTATGTCATGAAAACAGACAGTGACATTTTTGTAAATATGGACAACCTTATTTACAAATTGCTAAAACCCAACACCAAGCCAAGACGGAGGTACTTCACTGGTTATGTCATCAATGGAGGCCCGATAAGGGACGTCCGTAGTAAATGGTACATGCCTAGAGACTTGTATCCAGAGAGTAACTACCCGCCATTTTGCTCGGGCACCGGCTATATTTTTTCAGCTGATGTAGCAGAGATGATTTACAAAACCTCCCTCCATACTAGACTTCTTCATCTTGAAGATGTGTACGTGGGACTCTGTCTGCGGAAGCTTGGCATTCATCCTTTCCAAAACAGTGGCTTTAATCATTGGAAGATGGCTTACAGCCTGTGCAGATATCGACGTGTTATCACAGTGCATCAGATATCTCCTGAAGAAATGCACAGAATCTGGAATGACATGTCAAGCAAAAAGCATCTCAGATGTTAGACTTTTTACAGATGTAAATACTTTTTTTTTCCATTGGGAGGTATATTATAATTGGAAACTGGGATTTTAACTTCCAGTAGGGAGTGTCCTTTAATATGTTTTGTTTGGTTGTTCTTTACGACGTTTGGTTTTACAAGGTCAAGTTCTATTCATAATGGTCTTATTTCTAGCAATCAGAAAGGTTGGAATTGCATCTGTCTCTCTTCCTCAGCCTTGTAACTGTATATGTAAGAGGACAGGTGTATATCTATTCTGTAGGGTTGCCATCTCCGGATTGGGACCTGGAGATTTTGGGGGTGGAGCCTGAGGAGGGCAGGATTTGGGGAGGAGAGGGACTTCAATGGGGTACGATGTCATAGAGTCCACCGTCCAAAGTGACCATTTTCTCAAGGGGAACTGATCTCTGTCATCTGGAGATCACTTGTAATAGCGGTAAGTCTCCAGCTACCACCTGGAGGTTGGGAACCCTACTGTTCTGTTACAAATATGAAATAGAAACCTTAACATAAGACAAGAGTGTACAATATGAGGCTCCTGGGGCTCTTTCATCTAACCTCCAAGTACTTGATGAAGGGGTGATAATCTCAGCTGTCTAAACAAAAGGCCCCTCACGTGGACTGTGATTAATTTAAACGTGCGGTTTTATTATGGTCCTATGTTCCAAATTGTGTGCCAAGGTGGGGTTTTTTTTATTGAAGATCAGTTTTGAGTACAAAGTTTATAGCTAGCCAGATAGAATATGATTGTATGATCATTTCAAATTGCCATATGCAGGGTTTCCCCACACTATGGCCGTGGTCGCACACACTAAATAATCCATTTTCAATCCACTTTCAGTGCACCTTCTAACTGGATTTTACTGTGTGAATAGGCAAAATCCAGTTGGGAAGTGCATTGAAAGTGGATTGTTTAGTGTGTGTGGTCACAGCCTATGTTTAGGAACAGTCCTAGCCCCTCTCCTTCCACCCCAGACTCTGGGGGAGCCTCCAAAACAACATCTGAAGAAACCTGTGCTGGAAAGTCCCTGTACATGAATGAAAGCACTACAAGTGCATGCATGGATATGTGGTAGACATGTTCATAAGGCTCTTTGGATTTGAATCATGCATGCACACACCCACATAGCCTATCTTAGCAATTCTGATACCTACCCCAAAATTTGATGCTATGCAGATTGCTTTTTAAAAATGCGTTTTCATCATTTCCCCACACTAGCAGTATAACCCTATGCAGACTTGCTTTAGTCTAATCCTATTGACTTTAATGGGCTTAGACTAAAGTAACTCTTCATAGGATTGTACTGTAAATCCAAAATGAGGTGCACTAAAATCCCATCATTAAAGTACAAACAGAAAGAATGTGCCCCCCCCCCCCCAATTAAATTTGGTTGGATTGTGTGAATCCATGCCACTGTTTGTGGAACCTTCTTCTTTCTCCAGATGAGTGCTCTGCTGCTAGCGAATGGATTAATAGGCTCCAATTCATTATGAGAAACAAATTACACATGTGTTAAAATTGTAAGGGTACTAGGAAGCATCAGTGACCTTTTTAGCAAGGAACATGTCTATTTTTAAAAAGCAGTGGGCTCAGTTATACAGATAGAAAAAGCCTGGTACAGATAGTATTAAAGACAGTATGATTTTCATATAAGAAATATGCAGTATTATTAAAGAAAGAAAATGTTACCTGAACCAGCATCCACGTGTATCACTGGATCAAAGCCAGTCAGTTGCTTTTTAACAAACCAAAGCATATGTTCACTTCTAGTAGGCCATCCACTGGAATGGCAGACTCATATTGGGCAGGAATCAACATAATTTATTTGGTTTTTCTTTAGGATTAAAAACCCTGTGGGTTAGGTAGACAGCCAATCAAAAAGAAGGTTTCCGTATCAATTCAATCGTTCTTCACGGCTGCCTGTGTATAATTCTAGTGCTACTTAATGATAAGTGATCATAACAGTTTGACAAGTAACTTTGACAACAATAAAAACAAAGATCAGTTTTTTAAAAAATCCAACCTTACAAATGTTTTTAAAAATTTAAATATCAGTTTGGCAGCAGACAGCATCATAATTTTTTCTTGAATTGTACCAGCATTTTTATGGACTCCCCATAACAGGAACAGTTTGGCCTTTTTTTTTTTTTCCTGGACAGCAAACTAGCATTCTGGTGACAGGAGATGATAATAATAACTCCCCGAGGTTAAGAGAGTACCATTCGGGCAGTAAATCTTCAATTTGTTCTGCTCTGTTCAATGCCTTAGAGTGAACAGAACCTTACTATATCATCCCTCTGGTTTTTCTCTTTTGCTACAGCCACTGATATAAAATAAGGGGCCCAGTGGCACCTTTAAAAACATTTTATTCCAGCATGCACTTTTGCAAGTCAGAGCTCACTTCCTCAGATGTGTGAAGTATTCATCCACAAGGCAGAATGTTAGGCAGGTTCACCTGCTCAACTGAAGTACAGTTCAGTGCATCTAATCGAGTAAGCTGTGACTCCAAAAAGCTTATGCCAGAAGAAATATTGCTAGCCTTTAAGGGGTCACTGGGCTCCTTTTTTAATCTGTTGCTACAGGAAAGGAATCATGGTATAGCCTGATAAGCAGGGTTAGCACTTGGGTGGGAGACCACCAAAGGAAGACTCTGCAGAGGAATGCAATGGCAAACCACCTCTGTTTCTCCCTGCTGGGGTTGCCCTCAGACCGTTGTGACTTGATGGCACTTACATGGCACTGGGTCTGTAGCCATCTGGAATTAGTCCTGGTGTTTTTAACAGTGAATCCAGAAGTTAGACCCCTTCATACAAGTGCAGGGTGCCTCCTTTCTCACTGCAATTCTCATATACATAGTCTCCTCCTAATTTATTGACCTGCATACTTCATTGAAAGACAGCGCAATCCTAAGCAGAGGAGACCTTTGACTCCAGTGGACTTAGAATGGTGCGGCAGTGCCTAGGGTGGCGCCACTGAGCGTCTTTGATGTTTCTAGCCGACTCTGTATTCTGGCCTCTGCTCTTTTGAGAAGCAAGGCCTGCAGTCTGACTAGGGTTGCCATTCTCCTGATGGGGGCGGGGGTTTTCTTATTTTTGGTGCCCCCAATCCACTGGTGGCCAGGTGGCTGGCAGGGGGAGCCCTGCCCCAAGGGGGGGAGCCCTGCCGGGTATGATGATATCACCTGACATCATTGCACCAGGCATGTCATGCGGGGGACACTCTAGCATTTGGGCAGTGCCGGATTTACACATAAGCTAAATAAGCTACAGTTTAGGGCCTTGCAATCTGCTGGAGCCTTATTTGTCAGTTTAAAACCCTTTAATTATGTAATTATTTCTGTGATTTTGTAAACACATCCTTTATTATTTTTTAAATAAAAATTAAAAGGCAATATATTTTCAAATATTAAAAAGGCGTATATATTTTAAATTTTTCTGAGAGCAGCTGATGTAATTTAAAACAGTAGGGGGCCTCTGGGTTTTGTATAGCTTAGGGCCTCAGCAAGTCTAAATCCGGCCCTGCATTTGGGTAAAAACTCTTGGTGACCATGAAGTTTTTTACCCAAGTGCTACAGCATCCCCTGAACCACGTTCCCAGTGTGATGATGTCATTGCGGTATGCGCCCTTTGTGCCCATGCCTAAAGACACTGGGAGCTGGGCTGGTACCCCCCGCCGAGATGAAGGTAAGACCTGGCAACCCTAAGTCTGACACACAGGTCTCGAGGTTGTGACTCATCTGGATTCAGTCTCTAGTATTAACAAAAGATCAGTCCTCTTGTCTCTGACCGCACCAGTCATCCATTTTCAGGGGAAAGGGAAGCAGGCATTGTACATGACACTTCAGCTACCAAAATGACTATCAGTTCTGTGAAACCCTACAACACCGTTCCTCTCCTGCACAAAGAAAAGTGGGGTTCACTGAACCTAAGAGTGATAACTCAGCGTCTGGGATATCTGAGAAGCAGGCCCCCTCCACCCACACCATATCACACTCTGCTTGTGAATGCAGTTTCAGCAGCAGTTTGATATGTGGCATGGGCGAGGAAGGCGGCTGTTTGAGAAATTCAAGCACAATGCTCCCCAGGGCTGCATACAGATGCACATCAAAAGGAGGCCTACAGTGCTGTGAACATGCTTTGAGCTCTACTTGGGAATGTAGCGTATAAACAAATGAAATGCTGGTATATGATAAGGTCACTGGCTTTTCTGTTACTTGGCACCTCCTCTTCTCTCCAGTTCTTTGGATCTCAGTCATAGGTTTTCAGCCTAGAATCCCCTGAGGGGTAAGTAAGTAACTAGCAGGTTTTATTTTTGAAAGCAAGGATGTAAGAAAGTATTACAGCGGCCTCATATGGTACGGTGTGTCATTTTGGTTTTGGGGTTTTTTTAACTAGGAAAGTATTTGTACTGAAAAGATAGTTTAGGGCTGGACTCACAATGCTCACCTGACATTGTTTGTCCATGATTTTATTTACTAAAATAATACCGTTCCAGAGGCTGCAGCCTTCGGCAGATGAGCCATGGGGGTGAGGGGAGGACATCTACTTAACCCTGTCCTTCCTGCCTTTAAAAAAAATTAAAAACTTATCAATTTCTGCAGAAGCTCCCCAGACAGAACCTTCAGAACTTTGTTTTTGGAAGACCAGCATAGTTTGTGTGAAGCTATGGAGAACACTGATTCTATGAAGAAATTCCATGAACTGTCTCCATTTATAAAGTGCTCCAGCTGAATCAGAGATCATCAGTGTTTTACTGTTACATTGATACTGATGATAAGCATTTTGAAATGAATACAGAATACCTGTTATGCTGACCAAAACTTCTGAAAAATAGCAGGGGAGGGGAATCTACCACTTCTAAGTCACTGAAGCTCATTTGATAGATAATTTGATATATTTTTTCATTTTAAACAAACAGCAGTTAAAACAATCAGATGAAGGGTATACATTAACTATAAATCACAGTTCTTTGTCTGATGAAAGTATTGGCAAATGGCAATATAC